CATGTTTAAACATGTTAAAGACCACATTCTAACAAAATCATTTAGTTTGTTACCAATATTATTATTTTAAACTTTGACAAACAGCTTAATGAAATCCACAGTGATGAAATGTTGTAGTTTTATTTTTTTAATAACTGTCAATAATTTAATAGTTTAATAATTTTTACTGAACAGAACAACAGAAGCTAACAGAAACATTAAAAATATACAGTTTTCACACACTCAAAAGGAGTGAGCAGAAGTATATTTATTTTAGCCCTCCCGTTCTGCAGCCTCATTCCATCACTTCTTATTTATCAAGAAAATTATTCATATTTAAAAAATGAATCATCCAACAACACCGTCACCTGCAATTCCTTTTTMATTTAAACCTTTGAAACTTGACAGTTTTCCTTCAATTTTAAACTGTTTTTATAAAAAAGTTTGTCCTTAAAACCTGTTGTTTATGATGAAGAGAAAAATAGTGATTTTTGTGTTTTGCAACACAGTTTAATCATTTTTATTATTTAGAAGCAGATTGAACTGAATCGACTCAGAACCTTTTGAATCGATCTAGAGAATTAACCACGACACCAGCCCTTGTGTTTTCTGAATTAAAGATATATATCTTTTTTTTCCTTACTTGGCGCTGAGGTGGTGGGAACATTTGACCAGGAGCTTCATGCAGTGGACGGCGATGATTCCCATGACCAGGAGACTGAGCGGTCCGACCTGCAGGCAGGAGAACAGAACCATCACTTACAGTTCTGACAGAAAGCAGGACATGAGGACGTCGGGGCTTAATAAGGTCTGGGTCAAGCCTTTGATGGATAAATGTAAACCAGTGGAAACTCTGTTAATGTTCTGATTTATGACAGATTTGTTCTCAAACTGCAGCTCCTGCTTCACACTGTCTGTAGTTTTCCACGAAGCTCTGATGAGATCAGGAGCAGGATCTAATTATCTGAGTCACTGTTTGTGCGCTCACCACCAGCCCTGCATTCTTTATGGCCAGAGGCAGGCCCAGCAGACCGGTACCAATGTTCCCCTTCAGCAGGTGGACCAGAGTCTGCCAGAACCTGGACCAAGACATGATGAAACAAAAAAACATGAGGTTTATTTACAGAAACTAACCGACACTAACCCACGCTCCTGATACTCACGTGGTTCCGGTCCGTTCTCCGATCCTCTCGTAGTTCCTCTGGGGTCTGGACGGTCCCGGAGGAGACGGACACAGAGCGTCCAGTTCTGAAGGATTTTGGTCGGAGTAGAAAGAACCTGAGGAGAGGAAATTATTTAGTTTATTTATAAAACTCCAAGTCACGACAACCGTCGCCTCAGAGCCTCGAAGAAAACAAGCAGCAGAGTGGAGAGGAAAAACTCCCTTTAACAGGAAGAAA